GGTAGGGAAAAGACTGCAAAGGAAAGACATGTCAGAAGATCTGCCTGCACATACACTTTTCATTATTTTTTCACAGTGACTGTAAGCAAAATTGGCCACGCTAGAAATACTGATATCATTTGATGAGTCTGAAGCTTACCATGTCAGTTCCACAGAATTTGCACACAGCGCTATGCATGCTGCTCTAACCTTTATGATGCTACTTTTTTATTTCTCCCAGTAGGACAGTATGTGGGGCCATTGTTGTTTTATACAGGAACATTCTGACTACTTACTTCCAGTTTCAGTGCACAGAAATGGTCCATCTCCCACATTTGTTTTCCCACACTACCCTATGTCTAAGTTCTGCTCAAAGCTCACCACGGAGCAGTACACTCCTAAGTACTGATATTGTGAAATTAAGCGACTTTCCTAACATCACTGAAGTGACTGAGGAAACTGAACAAAGGACATATACGTTAGCCTGGTACCATGAATATGACTTGGGTCTTGTTTTTCTTGACTTTAAGAGATGTCTATTTAATTGCAGAGACAACACAAGGATCTCCCACATTTCTGGTGCCGCAGAATGGGATACAAGTGCTAAATGAGAATGCAATGACACCAAAGATCCAACATCCAACACAGAAGAAATTCCTGGTTACTTTACAGGCTGAGACACATCATGGAGACAGCCCTACCAACCAATTAAAAAATACTTCCTTATGGGAATGGATAGAGTTTGTATCTCAGTATTTATTTCACTGTAACACTCTGCAACGTTTAGCACAGTCACTCAACAATGTACTGATGACTATATTTGCTGAAGTAGATCATTTAGTATTGAAGTGGCTGAATTCATTCCCATTTGAAAGGACCCAGGTAGTTATAATAGACAATTACTCCAAAAGCCTTTAAAGCAGGGGTGTGCAATTATTTTGGCTGGAGGGCCGCTTAATGACTTCTGGTGAACTGTCAAGGGCTGCAAAGGTAGCCGCACCCCCTGGTCACCATCTTGGGACCAGAAGTCCTGCTCCTAAAACCTGACCTTTGCCAATATAAGTCCCTCCCCTTACCCTTGGAAGTACTCCTTTTGGAAAGGGGGTTTGCTATCTTGGAACCAGGAAAAAAACCAAATCATATACTAAAAATCAAACATCTGCTATAACATATTTTAATTTTATTTAAAAAAAAATGTTTTCCTGATTTATGTATGTTGGCTTCGTGTATATAAAGGCGATTGCATAATAGCTCAAATAAAGTCCTGCATAATCGTTCAAAATAAAGTCCTGCTCTTATATATTGTGTGTGGGGGAGTGTGGAGTCTGGCTGAGGGGTGGGTGTGTGTAAGGGGGTGAGGTGAGAATGAGGTGAAGGTGTGGGTGTCGGTGTGGGGTTTGTGGGGGGGTGGGTATGGTAGGGTGTCTGTGTGAGCCCTCTGCCACATGGCCCCCACACGGTGCACAGCCCCCGCCACCAGTGGAAGCAGCAACAGGTGGTAGGCCTTGGGGTGCTTATGGCCTGCAGCAGGCAGAGTGCCCCTGGCAGGACTGAACAGACACTTTTTCCCTATACAAGGGGCAACAGCCACAGAGGTTATTTGAGTCATTGCGTCACAGTAATTCAGCTACTTTTCCCTGCAGAGTCCTTTCTTAACATAAACCAAATTACCATGTCTCCACAGGGATAATCCTTCAACTGTTTCTGACCATGGTGATCTCAACCTGAGCACCTGAATTATAAGGAAAAGATACATTTTTTTACCTTTATCAATGGGTCTTTGACCTCAGTCACTTGCTCTTCTTCTATCTGGTAAACATCTGGAGCATCACTGAACTCAATTGGCTGGTCATCTTCTGGCTGGCAAACGTCTGGAGCAGCAGCACTGAATTCAATCACTTGTTCTTCTTCTATATGGTAACCATCTGGAGCAGCTACTGCAAAAGAATGCTCACCCACGTCCTCATTAAAAATAATACAAGAGTGAGGCAGGAATCTATAAAAAGCAGAATAAAGGTAGTGAAATAATACAGGAAGGGTGCTGTAGACACAGGTCATCATAGCATTGTGTATCTGCCCACTGTGCAAAGATCTTTAAATGTCAAAGTTGAAAGGCCGTTGCTTTACTGAATCCTGCTTATAGACAAAAAAGGATATGCGGGTATACCCCAGATGCAGGCAGTGGAATTGAGAGGCTGTGTCTTAGGGCCCAGACAGGTAAGACATTTATGCTGGTATAATTTATATGTTTTGTACATCAGGGTAAATTTATATCAGTGTCCAGAGCAGACAGAGGAACAGCCAGATTTCAGTATGGTAGACCCTATACTGCTGTCGCTGTACCCACCGCTAGATGGTAGGGGATCTGGTAATAGCTTGTTTGCTTTGAGCAAACAGCTATATTGGAGTAACCCATGGACACGTGACCTCTACACTGCCATAAACTTATGCCGGTGTTTTTATGCCAGATTTTTAACCAAATCTTTCATGGGTAAATTCTACATCAGATTCAGGCAGACAAGGTTCCTTGGGTGAATTTGATATCTTTTATTAGACCAACCCAAATAGTTGGAGAATAGTTATTAAGCAAGCTTTCGGGTTCAAAAACCCTTCGTCAGACTAAGGAAGTTTCAGCAGTTGGTGTGTGCTCTTCCTGGATGGAATGAAAAGTAAAGAAGCCAGATCCAGAGCAGCTACCCCAATACTGGAATTTATGTCATCTCTGCACTTCTTGTTTATATCTGTGTAAAGCAAGTTACACCATTGCAAGTCTGTCTTATGTACAGGCTCTTATTAATTGCTGTTGTTAAAAGCAACCATAACCCATTTAGCAAACTGGAAAGCCTTCTCTACAAATAAGGAATATTAATTGTTTACTGCACCTGTTCCTGGAACAAACATGCAGCCTTTTACTAGAAATAGATCAATCTTGGTTTAACATATGTGCTATAAAGTTAACTACATGATTGAGGAGATTGACTTAAAATGTTGGAAAAAATATTAAGTGGTCAAAGTAATGTAAAATATGCAGGTCATGAGCAGGAAAATGAATGTGTCTTGCTAAATATTTCTAATTTAATTAGGAACCACCAAATAAAAAGCTAGAAGCCAAATGTTCCAGCAGCAAGACCTGCAAATATCATCCCATGTTTGTGTGGCCAAACTGGTAAAATGGCAAGTACTGCTTATTTTCTGTTCCCAAAAGCCAAATTCAGCACCCAAATACAGAATCTGAAATTCCTAATCTACTATCCATTGTTGACAAACAGGGCTCACAAGGTAGATATTATTGCTTTAACAGGACTTTAATGAGGAAAAAAAATGGTCCCTTGGTGCTTGGTGATCATTTTTCTTAATGTTTTTATAGCTTTAATAAACAAATTAGCCTGGAATCAGTTGCTGCTTGGAGGAGAACAAGAAACATGAATAAAATACATCGGAAAATAGCTGAGTATTTGAAAACCTAAAAGTCATACTATCGCATCTGAGAATAAATGTTCTTACTGCTTCGAGTGAAAAAATGTTACCTCACAGGACTTTTCTTTTATCTTTTGATTTATTAGAAACTCTCCCAAAACCCAATCTCAACTCTTTTTATCCTATCTTAGGCAACACAACCATCCTCTCTCTCTCTTTGCCAGTAAAAATCCCAATACATTGAGTATTGGAACAATATCTCAATTACCATAACTGAAATTATTATAAACTGAAACTAAAAACCCCAGAGAGGATTACAGAAGCATAGAAAGCTCAGTAAATTACAGCACAGTAGAAATTAAAAATGGGTTTTGACACAAGAATCAGCAAAAAGGTTAAACACTGATCAATCATGCATTTTCTGCTTCCATCTGAAAATCTGGGCGTTCTATTTTTTTAGGCAAAAGGCAGAGTACAGCATTCTGATGCTAGTATATGACATTCTAAATGTTTACAAGCAAGTGAAACCAAAGTAAATGAATCAATTAGGCAAAAACACTTTCTAAGCACCAGTTAGCCCAAAGATACTATTTCTAATGGTTATGGGCATCTCAGTAATTTTCTGCAATAGAAAAATGATTTTAAAATTCACCTACTTGTATTAAAGTGTATTTGCAGATACAGCACATAATCTCATCTTTAAACCCAGCTTCATAATATTCATAATGCTCCTGAATACATTTAGTTAACATACATGTTTTTAAATAATCTGGAACCACTTTGAAACCAAGATTTTCTCCCTTGTTTTTGCAGTCTACAGATTAGCTGCAAATCCTGTTTTCTGTTAATCGGATTGAGCTGCTGTGTGGACAGCTCCTCAGAACCCCCTGTGGAAGCGGGTAGGAACCAAAGGACTGTGTTGCTAGGGGAAGCTGAGCAGTTGCTAAGAAAGAGAACATGTCGCTAGGAGACACTTGCTGGTTACTAGGTACCATACGTCATCAGAAAGCCTTTGAATAAGCCAAGTTAGCAAAAACATCCTTTCCTGGCTCATCTCTTAAAACAGTATTGCCCTCTAGACAGAGATGTGTGTATGCACAGCAAAGATCATATCCACTGTCATCAGGAAAAAACCAAAAATTCAGGGCACATTTGACCTAAACTCCAATGACATTCCAATTCCATTGAGGGTTAAGGGTAAACTGCATCTGTTAACTGGTGTTTATGCCTTGAAACTTCTTAGCAAATATGGAAATAAATGGTGTTGCTCTCTCTAGAGTAAATACAAACAGTTTTAGTCAGCTGCTTGTTGGAGCATTTTGAGGTCAGACTTAGTTCACACAGAGCAGACACTTGGAGCAAATCATGTCACTATTTTCCCATCATGGCTATAAATCTCCTCTAGTTCAGGGAAAACAGTTAACCCATGCAAATAAACATGAACTCAAACTTGAATCTTGCCTGTGGTTCTGCTATAAAAAAATCAGCTCTGTGAAAACAAAGTTTATTTAAATCTGAGCCTTTTTAATTCCATGTCTTGAAAACTCACATAGGATCATAGGAAAGCAGGGTGGAAGGGATGTTACAAGGTCATGTACTTCAGCCCTCTGTTCAGCCTGCTCTTGAAAATTTCCAAGGACTCAGATTGCACAACTTCCCTAGATACCTTGTTCCAAAGCTGGATCACCCTCATAGTCAGAAAGTTTCCCTTAATCTCCAATCTCAATTTCCTCTGCTGTAGCTGAAGGCCATTGTTCCGGGCTCTGGGCAGCTGCAGCAAGCAGGCTGCAAACAGCTGTGCCGGGCTCCACAGCTCTGGCATCAGCTCTATGCTGGCAGTGACTGCGCATGCACCTTGCAGCAGGCTGCACTGCCCTGCTGTCTGGTCTGAGGTGCGCATGCAGTTGCTGCCAGCATGGAGCTGATGCCAGAGCTGTGGAGCCCGGCACAGCTGTTTGCAGCCTGCTTGCTGCAGCTGCCCAGAGCCCAGGCTGGCTACAAACAGCTGCGCCGGGCTCCAGAGCCCAGTCACCAGCTCTGTGCCGGGAGCAGGGGAAGAGACCGGGGTTGCACTGCCTCAGGCCCCTCCCACTGCCTGCTCCAATGCGCAGGTGTATGCTCCACTACAAAGCTGATGCCTGGGCTTCGAGGGGCACAGGGCAGCAGGGCTGGGGGGCAGGAAATTTGGGTGGGGGGCAAGGGGCACAAGCAGGGCATCCTGCCATGTACCCCCTGCCTTCATTTTGTTTTTCTGGCATGCTGGCACTCCGGCACCTTCCAAGGTAAGCATTGTGGTGTTTTTCGGCACTCTGGCCAAAAAACGTTGCCTACCCCTGCCCTATGGTCACAGAGAAAAGCCCATCTCTATCCTTTCTATAATCACATTTCTGTTATTTGAAATAGTTACAATATTTACAGTCATTTTGATATGTTGTTTATGAGCTACTTCTCATTAAAAGATAAAAACATTTCGAGTGAATCTTGAAAGAATTCTTACAACTGTGAACACCACTTACTTTGCAGTCTTGGTTTCTTCCTCGTCACTATCATTCTGGAAATAGGATGTCTGCAACCTTTCAAGGGAAGTATTTTTATGGTAAATATAATGTATGGATTTTGAATTTCAGGTGGCTATTTGAAATTACACTCTGTGGATGTAGACATTTCTGCCAAGATGATGTAGGCAAGAGGGAGGTATGTATCAGCTCAAAATCTTAAAAGAAACATTTGGAGATGACTAACTTGAGAATATTGGCTAGGCTTATTTCACAGCCTTTCATGGCAGGTTCTAACATGTTGGGGGGAAATAAAGAATATATACAAAAGAATGATGTAAAATGTTAAAGAAATATAGGGAAAAACCATACTGGAGACTTCAAATTCCACTTGCTCTGCAGGAAGTCTTCTCTCTCTTCCCCTCTTCCCCACCCCAACCTTTTTTTTTAACAAAACCTCCTTCTGGAATTCATGCTCTAGGGCAGGAAATTGCTGACTGGCTGTGTGGAATGCTAGGTTTCCTTCCAGGACTGTGTATTAGGAAAAAAAAAAAGCCTGTGTAATGAACGTTCATAAATCCATTTATCTTTAGTAGGGTGGAAGGAAGCACCAGTAAACAGCAACAGAAGGAACAGAGCTCTGGGAATCATTTTATGTTAGCATAGTTGCTATTTATTCTAAGGAAAACTAATCAGCAAGAAGGAATGAGCTTCAGACATGCAGAGCATCAGTATTTATCCAGGGCCTGGAGGCTGAATTCACTTGTAAAAGACAGCCTTTTACTTCTGAGCTAAATTCTCAGGCATAGCTCTAGGAACACCAGAGTTGCTATCCCAGGTCAGCGTTCCCACTGGTCACCTCCTGCCACCTCCGGTCCTGTGTACCTTACTGTGCAAACTACAACAGCCAGAATCCATGATGGGAGCTTTACCCCTTCTTCTGAAGCTAGTGGCTAGCATCAGTCAAGGAGTGGACAAGGTAAACCACTGGTCTGTGTTGATACAGACTAGCGATACCTTCTGGAGACTGTTTAGCCTGCTATGCTGGCAAGCAGCCTCCCAGAGAAACGTTGACTGAGTTAGCCAGAAAGCCTTCTGGAAGCCCCAAAATACATTGGCTCCCATCTTTCAGCCAACAGGCTGCTCAACTCCCTCACTGTCACATTTTAGCTGCTAGCATAGAGTAAGCCACACACCTATTTCTTAAGTGCACACAGAATTGCTGACATCCTCTGGCCAGCTAGGCTCATCAACTAGTTTCCTTCTCTGTGGACAGCTTCAAACGATAGCTTATTGATACTCCAAGAGATATATCCCACACCCAGTTTCCTGCTAAAAGATGTAGCACCGATCAATTTTCCAGAGGTTATCCTACCACAGCACATAGCACAGACACTGTGCCTCCTTTTCCTAGACTCAGCTTGTGATTCTTCTGAAGGTGATACCCATCATGATATTAACCTTATGCACAGAGTCAGGTAAGATGAACAGGATTTAGCCATCAAACTCATTCCCCTTTCCTGTCACTCCTGTGAGGAACCTCACTTTGTCCCTCAGGATAAGAAAGAAACACACCCTCAGACTCCTTCCCATAACCAAATTCCTGATTCCGCACAGCTGATCCCTCTGATAGGCCAGGCTGAACTCCTGCTGCACAGGAGAACAGATTTCCTTCCTTCATATTCATGTCATATGGCTCATAATGTGAAATCCTGGTGCAGAGCATTTCTGTTTGAAAATCTCTTTTATAGGATCAGAATCTGTGACCACAGGGGAGCCAACTGCAGCCAGGATTTTCAGCTGGGCAATGATGTTTTATTGAAAACCTGAAATTCAGCAATTGAAAATCTCGCCTCACCTGTAAATTCTGTTAGGGGGCTCAAAGGCACTTGTACAATATACAAGCAGCCTGTGGAAGCATATTAACGGCTAAACACTTTTTGGCTGGAAAATGTTATTTACTGTTTCTCAGATGCGTAACTGATGAAGGTTAACAATCGAGTCCTTCCAGCTTCTTAAGCATAGGTTTCAAATCTGGAGGCTGGAGCCTTCCACGAGAGTGAGGAGAAGATGAGTTTAGTAACTCTTTAGTTATACTGCAGTGTAAGCATTTGATTCTGTTCCACTAAAATCAATAACGAAATTGAAAAGCTGCAGGATCAGGCCTTAAAACAGGGTTGTGCAGGGACATTGGTGGACTCATCTTTGTGCTTATTTAGGAGTAACTGAAGCACAATACAGTTCAATGTATCTGAGATTCTGCACATCTGACAGATAGTTGCCTGAAGGTACGAGCGCCCAGAAATGACATGTATTAGAATAAATGCAAGGCAAGCTGGCACAGCAGTGTCTTTGCTACCTAGTCAAGTAGTTTATACCCAGAAGGACCCCAAACCTCTTTGCACTTTGCAGATATGGGTCTCTGAACTCACCGCTGAGCTGCAGGTACCTCTGGGGCTGGACACACATACCAGTCACCACAGACATCCCTGTAAGTAAGAGGTTTTAGGAAGAGATTGGGATAAATGATATGGAGAATGGGCCAGGCATTGTCAGTGACGATAACAGCATTTTAAGAAAGTGTTGCAAGAGACCCAACCCCTCCTGCTTCAGGTAATAAGTCCACCTCCAACTACTAGCGGGTAGAAAGAATTTTTCTCTTTAGTGCAGATGGTCTCATTATTGCCTAACCAGTTTGTTACAATACCCTCTCAAGCAGTTGGTGCTGGATCCCATCTGAGACAGAATACTGTACTGGATGGAGCTCAGCCTGGCATTTCCTGTGTTCTTTTCATTCATATCTCACAGAAATTTAAAGGAAAGCCAATTGCTTGTTTTAGTAACTCTGGGTCCTTGCAGTGCATATCACTTTTATAGCTAGTTGTGTAAATCACCAGCTGCTAAGTAACCCACACAATATATTGAATGGACGTAAGGAAAGAACAAAACACATATGGATCATATTATACCCTCTGAGTCCTCCACATTGGAGGGCTTGATTCCTTATAATATAGGATCTGACAGACAAGGTGGCTTTTCAAGTATGAACTTTCTCTTCCTACCTCTCTTCTTCCTCCTGAGTTTCCTCTTCTATTGAAGGGAGAGGAGCAGAAGACAGTTTAAGTTCCATCTCGGTATCGCAAGGTTTCACCTCTTCTAGAACTTCATTGGATTCAATGTCTTCAATGACAAGTTTGGTCTCTCCCTGCTCCTCGGGGAGGATACAAACTGTAGTAGGAACAGGGGAGGAAGCAGTGAAATGAAGGCAGCACGTTCATTACTCAAATCCATCTACATTATTTTTTAAAGCCCTCAACATTTAATACAAATATTGCTCAGCACAGAGATCGTCAAATACACCAGAGTGCCAGCATATCCCAGTGTTCCCCAACTTTGTATCATTTTCAGCCCATGGTGTTCCTAATGGGTGTACATGTGGCCAAAATAAAAATACCATAAAAATATAGGTTTCTCTGCATTTATACATCTTACTATTGGATGAAACCCTGTGACGGAGTAAATTGGAGCAGAACTGTTGACTTTACCGGAGCCGCACTGATTGACATGAGGATCTGGCCCATCCATCTCTAAGCCATGGTCTGATTGCTCTTACACGAGGACTCAATGGTGGGAAAGGACTCAGAAAGCTCTTGCCCCCTTGCACTCCAGTGCAGGAATGGCCACAACACCATCCTGGAAACTGACCCCAATGTAGAGGCTGGAACTGGGGCTCAAACAAGCCTGCTCTGCACCTTGTAATAACATCTCCTCCCATAGGCCCAGGCTTATTCTGCCTGACTGTGTTCTCAGCAAGCAGAATGCCCCCAGGAGCTGTTATCAATAATGTACATGTTCATGCACACCTGTGACAGCAGCACCTGCTGAAGTCATGAGCTATCCCCAAATAGTAATTAACACTATGACATGGCATTCTACACTGCAAACAGTAACTACCTCTACAGCCCAATCATTTACCAATGCTGCAGGGAAGTACATGGGGGACCACATTTCTGGAAGGGTCATCATGGGTCTGCTCCGAAGCCCAGTGAAGTCAATGAGATTCCTCCCATTATCTTCAGCCTCCATTAAGTCAGGCCCACTCAGTCATTGTTATCTCAGATACATGCTAATTGCATGCAAAAAAAACAAGAGGAAGAACTAAAACTACCCAAATCAGGTGTTATAAAAAGAGAAGGGATTTCTGGGGTCCCACTAATACCACAATTCAACAAAGCCTACAAAGAGTTCAACAAGAAAGTGTGGACATTTAAAAATACACAAAAATAGAAAAAGCGACATTTGTGATCCAAGCTTGGATTTTATTTTTAATTCCAATGCACATTCACTCAGCACTACCCCAGGTGGCATTGTACTAATGCCACGCAATGTATTTAGTCAATATTGTTCATAAACAGTTTTTAAAATACAAAGGAGAAGAAAAAGAAGACACTTTGCTAAAAATATTGGATTTTGTTTGCTAGAGAATATATATCAAAATAGGTAAGATTCAGAAATGTTACTCAGTTGCCATGTAGCGAGCACATTATAAACACACAGATAAGAAATGTTATTTCAGCTGCATGGGTAGGAACTCCTCATTATGGGTGCCTGGCTTGTTGTAAAGTAAATGATACTTGAGTGGAAAAGAGTACCTAATCATTGTAATAGAAAAGTAGAGTTAGGAGGGATCACATGAGATCAAGTCCAACCCAATGTTCTTTAACAACCCAGCCCAGAACATGCATGAGTGCATGTGTGTGCCTGTGCCTGTGTCTATGTGTCTGTATATTGGAGGTGTTCAGTTCACACAATAGCCTCTCTTGGAATGTTTTAACTGCTGAGAGTTGCTCTGAAACTTTTTAACAGGCTAGACCAGAGAAGCTACATTGTCTGAGGAAAAGTCACAATTGCTTGGGATACATTAAATAAGCCCTGCTCAAAGAACAGCCACAAAGCCTATGTGCCACTTAAACCTTATTTATACACCTAATATTTTCTATTCCAGACCAGGCCCCTTCCCACTTGCTAAGTCAGAACTACCTTTTCAGTGCGAGAAAGAGAACACAAGTCTCTGATGATGAGAAGCTAGGTGTTATTTGGGTATTGTGCTAAGGTTTTCTGACAAGCAAATTCAAACTGTTAGCAGGTTTCAGCTGAAGGTCACAGTGATAACATTTTGGTATGCTGTGGCTTTAAAATCATTTTAGGAATTCAGAAGCGACGGTAGGAAGATCCATGCTTAGAAGGTTCCTCAAAGGATCTTTTTCAGCTCTTATACCCAGTACAAATTAAACCTTACAGCCATATTCTGAAGAATCAAAATCTCTGCCTCTGACGTACCCAGACAAATCAATGTCAAGTGAAAACAGAAGAAAATGACAATACTATTGACTGGAATTGGCATTAGAGTCAGGTTCTTCCCAGTAGCAGAAAATCCTCTTCTAGTCAGCAGAGAGGCAGACAGTCACTATGTGTCTAACTCCAGCCAAGGGGGCATTGACTTCAGCTACTGAGATGTGCAGCTAAAATTCCCTTTTGAAAATGGAGCAACTGAGTTAGTTGAGCCTTAGGTTTTACTCCTGGTTTAAGTTTGGCATGGGGAGTAATTAGAAAGGAACTTGCAGATCTTTCTCTTTGTTTCTACCCCCAACTGTATTTTTCTCTTCAGGTTGGTTTAATTTAATTTTGTGCAAAGATGATTCTCCCAGGTCTTCATTTTCCATTTGTTTCAGAGGCTCTAAGCCCCTTTCCCCCCTGAAACAAAAGGAGAGGGAATATATTAATAAAGATGTTTGCTGTTTTGGATTTGGGAGAAGGTGAGTAATTTTATCCATTCACTTCCTTCATTTGTCACATAAGTCTATTCAAAATACCACAACATACCAAATCAGGGATTTGACTTAAGCCAGTTACACGTGAAGGGTGAAATTCTCCCCTGTACATGCAGCTGTCATAAAGTTGATTCTTTGCTTAATACCATAAAATAGGGCTTAAAAGACGCTTAAATAGAGCATTGGCCTTGTGCTGGGCCTTGTGGACAAAGATGAATTTCACCCTGACTTGAGGAGCTTTGGTTATATGATTTGCCACAAACTAGAGTCATCAGTGATTTTTGGTGACCAGCATCACCAGCCACTGACTGTTCAATAGAGAGCAAAATAGAATTCATACAACTGGGCCAATGCTTCTCTGTACCCTGCCTAGTAGAGAGCCACAAAGAAACACACTATCATCTTAGCATTTCCCCTGTTCAAATCCCACGAGAATAAGTTTTCATTTTGAGGGTTAAGGCAAGGTGGACATAGTTGCATGATAAGACATTCCATGATGTCAACATTCCACCCTACCAAATGCAGGGGAAAGGTGCAAAGGAAGAATACCTCATCTGAGACATCACCTAATGTGCATAGCGTCAGACCCAAACTGAGTAAGGGAATCCAGAGCTCCCCAGGAAGATCCAGTCTCCTACCTAATTCCTCTAAACTCCCAATGCAGGAAAATGAACCCATGCATTGCACAAAAGTAATTTGAAATAAATGGCAAAATGTTCCTTTATATTATCTATGCAGTCTATACAATATTTTCCTATATGTCATTCTGGGGGGTGACTGATTAGGCTATGGTACTGCAAAAAGGACCTAGGGGTTACAGTAGACCATAAGCTGAATCTACACCAACAGTTGCAGAACAGGCCAACAGTATACTGGGTTGTATTAACAGGAGTGTCATCAGCAAATCAAGGGAAGTGATTCTTTGGCTCTAGTCAGGAATAGGCACATCTACATGAGACACCATTGCACGGTAGCTCATTGCTACTGTGCAGTAGGGCTGTGTGAAATTTCACCAGCTGTTTCGTTTTGACACCGTTTTAACTAATTTTGAGCTCAAAACAGCAAAATTGAAACAAAATGAAGGGCTTCGAAACAGCCTTGAAACAAAACGAGGGCAGTTGAAATGTTTAAAAAGTTTTGAAACGTTTTGAGTTTCAAAGCAACCCGACTGAGTTCCCCCCTCTCCCCAGAGCTAGGATTAGCTGGGGAAGGGAACTGAGCCCGATCACTCAGTTCCCCTCCCCAGTGCTGCGATCCAGGCTGGGGAAGGGAACCCAGCCCAGCAGAGCTGAGTTTCCCTCCCCACCACTACCATCAGACTGGGAAAGGCAACTCAGCATAGCTGAGCTACATTCCTCTCCCCAGCCCTAGGATCAGGCTGGGGAGGGCAACTCAGCTCAGCTGAGCTGAGTTCCCTTCCCCAGCCCAATCCTAGCCCTAGAGAGGGGAACTCAGCCGGGCTGAGTTGCCTTCCCCAGCCAGATCCTAGCACCGGGATGGGGAACTCAGCTCAGCTGGGCTGAGTTGCCTTCCCCAGCCCAAACAATCGCAGTGCTGGGGAGGAGAACTGAGCAATCGGGCTCAGTTCCCTTCCCTAACCTGATGGATCACAGCGCTGGGGTGGGGAACTGAGCGATGGGGCTCAGTTCCCTTCTCCAGCTCAATTGGGCTGGAGAAGTGAACTGACCCCGATCACACAGCCCTGACAGCCGTCCCGGGGTTGCAGCCCCCGATCTGCCTGCCGGATGAAAAAAGCCAGGTGCTCCTGCCTGGGACTGGTGGTGTGCTGGCACCGGTCCCAGGCAACAACACCCGGCTTCCCTCCCTCATCTGGCAGGCCACCTGGCAGCCAGATCAGGGACTGCGGCCCCAGGAGGACTGGCACACCCCCACAGCCCTCCTGGGGTTGTGGCTCCCAATCTGCCTGCTGGATGAGAGAGGCTGTTTTGAGCTTCCCCATTATAGCCTATGGGCAAAACTCGAAACAGCATTGAAACAGTGTCACTGTTTCGATGAAACAAAATGGAACAGAGGTTTCAAATTGAAACAAAATTCGAAATGAAACGCTGTTCCATCAGTACTGTTCCGTTTCAACTTGTGTTTCATTTCACGCAGCCCTACTGCACAGTAGCATTGGTGGGCACTAATCATGACACAACGATACTATGCAGTAGTAACAAGTTACTGCACAGTAGCATCTGAAAAAACCACGCAGGGAAGCTACTGTACAGTAATGCTGGTTACTGTAGTGTGCAGTCATTAAGTACTTGGTTATGCACAATCCACTGCTCTTGTAGATGCAGCCACTGATGAGGCCTTGCCTAGAGTACTGTGTTCAGTTTTGGTCCCCACACTTCAAGAATAGTGGCATAGACAGATTGGAAAGAATCCAGCAGAGAGTAAGGGGCTGGACTCAATGATCTTCCTGTCACAAGCCAAAGGGTGTGATTTTTGTTTTTGTGTGCTTCGGCACTGCTAAATTGTTCCTGCTAAATTACAGCTTCTTTGCACGGTGGAGTTTTCTGCTGCAAAAGAGAACCCCGGTGCAAGGGAGGATTTCCCGCTAATTTGAAGCTTTCTTTGCAGGGTGCATTTCTTTGATGCAGCACAGAAATGCTCGTTGCAAAGAGTTCCAGCCATTTGTATGCTAATTTGAGCCCCATTATTGGCCAGTTCTAAATTATTCACACGTGGCGGCTAGTGATTGACTTGCTAGCCGTATAAAAGGCTTGAGTGGTTTCCGCCCAAGTTGGAGGACTCCACGAACACCGGGAGGAGGAGACTTCATGCTGCGTGAAGATCTCTAAGCGCTGCGGATCCCTACGGACCCAACGCATTTCAAGCAGGCAACAGAGGTCTGATCAGCCTCTAGCCTCTCCCCATCGCTGATAGATTCCTAGACGTATCCCTCCCTGCGCGCAAAAGAACTGGACCCACGGAGCCTAGCAAACTTCGTGTGAGTTCAGCTGGAACAACTGACATAGTTGTTCAGACGACCGGACTACCTCAGAGCACAAGTTCCACGGAGCCTAGCAAACTTCGTTTGAGTTTATTCAGAGCTCTTTTGTACGAGTACTTTCTTCGGTTGACACGACGGGCTCGCGTGTTTAGAGCCTTCAGCCGGATTGGGCTAGAGTTCACGAGTTTAGAACTCTTGTCCGCCTCTCTTCTTTCCTGTCTGTAACCGCAACTCAAGCAAGTTTTCCAGCCTACACCACGACCATCTTTAGTGTAAGTAAACAATCTTTAAAACTACCGCTACGAGTCTGTGCCTAATTCTAGCTTGTCGCACCCCTCCTCTCCGACCCCGCGTGCCCGGGCTGCTGGCCACAGCCCGTGTAGAGCACAAAAAAGGGCCCGGCTCGCGACCGGCCCGCACACTTCCGAGCTCCCTTCCAGCCCTAATGTCTATGAAATCTATGAAAAAAGGCCTGGAAAACATGATTTATAAGGATAGGCCAAAATAACTAGAGTTATTTAATCTGAAGAAGAGAAGACTGAGGGACAATTTGATAACCATCTTCAAATACTTGAATAATGACCACAGGGAGGATGCAAAAGGGTTTTCTCTGTGGCCATAGGGACAAGACTAGGAGCAATAGCCTCATGCTGAAGCAGAAGAACTTTAGATTGGAGAACAGGAGGAACTTTCTAATTATGAAGGTGGTCAAGCATTGGAACAGGCCACCTAGAGAAGCTGTGGAATCTCCATCTCTGAAAATTTTCAAGAGCAGGTTGGATAGACATTTGGCTGAGATGGCTTAGTCAGAGACGATCCTGCCTTGTGCAGGGGACTGGACAAGGTGACCTTGTGAAGTCCTTCAGTTTTGCCATGTAACATTCAGGTGGCATTATCATACCTGACATCATAGCATTCTTTTGTAGTATGTCTGCTTCGTGAAATTAGCCATGACAGAAATCACCTCACTTTTTTATTACAAAGCTGTGATGCACAACACTAGTGGAACAAGGCACAGACATAACTAGATTCTGTAGTGAAGTTGGCAGCAGAGGAAGACCTAGCAGGGGGGCGCTGGAATAAAGGTGAGGGGTGGAGAAGGGTGGGGGAAGGGGAGGGGAGGCTCCAGACTCCAGCCACTATGGGCTCTGTCAGTACAGAATTGCCAAAAGCCATGCCAAACAACAATATAAAAAGCCAAATTTGGCTTTGGGATTAAATACTTGGCTACAGAGGGTCCAACCTCTGCCCTCCAGAGCCTCAACCCCTCCTGCTTCTACCCACTGAATGCTGGGTCCTAGCCATGTTCCTGTGTTCTGTGTTACCAATGACCAGAGCTGCTGAAGTCTTGAGCAGCCCCTACTTCTGTTCCAGTGCCCCCACTTAGTCAACACCTGAGGCTCATGTCCCTGTCACCCACAACTAGTTACACTACTGGGGAAAGGTTGTAATTAAGGCTACATACTTCGCCTGTCAGTCTCACTAGGGACCCCAAATATGTCACCTATTGCAAGACTTATTTTCTTCCTAGTTGTGCAGAAGATGTCTTTCTCTGGGCACCTCAAGCTCCCAAAGGCATGACCTCGAACCTCATGAGTAAACTTAAAGAGGTGGTTTGGAAGGGGTTATAAGTGTGTATCTGATCCAAATTCCAATAACCTTTAAGGACTTGGAAAATTCCTTCTGGCATAACCCAATCATGCACCTAGATAACAAATTAACTCAGAAATTGTGTTTTAAAGAGCTTCCAACAGCACTATGAAAATCACAAAGCTTCTCAGTTTGGGACATTCTCCACATTTGGAGAAGATACCCCTAAAATGTGAGTCTCTTTCTAAGAAGAGTCAGATAAAGGAAAGGCTTGGAGAGTCACAACAACATCCCGAATCTACAAGGCAGCTTTCACGAGAGAAAAGGTTGATACTAATCAAGAATGTATTGAAAGTAAAACTCATCAAAGTGAACTAAAAAAATGCAATGGGGACAATTTAACAATATTGTTCTCACTGCTTCCCTATCTCTCTCTCAAAGCTCTGCAACATGAAACCCAACCCAGGCCTGTTCAAGGGCATCTTCCTAACTGTGCTGCAGCCCTTCCTTCCACTTCATCTTGATCAAGAAGGTACACATCTGTGTTGAATGAAATAATGTAATGTAATGTAATGGGAAGTACTGATTACTTACTCTCCTCCACTGGGCACGCAGTTACCACTTCTCCTTCCTAACATGAAAAAAGAATAGAGTAAAATATTACTGTCAGCTATTTTTCACTGATGTATGTGCAGGTGCATGTGTGTGCATGTAAGTATGCCTGTATTGCCACTATTCTACTCTCTCATCCTCAATACATCTGACAATTCAGTAGATGGCACCCTTCTCTTGTGAGTCACAACTGAACCCCTACCCCAGCATGAAGCTAGCTATGCCGTACTATTAAGAATTTTCTGCAAGAAATATAAAATCAAGATCTTGACTATTTGCTAAAAAATGTATTTATAATACCTTATCATCTGACTAACATGATTCCCAAATACTGCGGCAGATAACTTTGCCCGGTCCACACAGGCTCTGCTGAAGTCTCCAGGGCTAGGCTCTTAAAAGGCCTCCTCCCTCTCCAGTCTCCACTGAGATAGACAGGACTGCACAGCAGCCCTCAAACATCGCAGAACTCAGCACTGGGCCAGCTAATTCATCACCATGAAAGAACCTGCTTGCACTCAGGTAAAGCTGAAGCACTGAATCGTTGCCCCGTTAACCACTTACCGAATCAGCTTGCTTGATCACAGGCTGTGGAACCATCTTCTCCAGTTCCTGAACAAACCAGTCAAGCATCCTGCCAAGCAGAAAATTCCCATTACAATTCTTTTTCCTTTCCTATTTGTTATTGATCCTTTGTTTCCTTCATCAGTAGGGCATGCCGGCCCCTTGGGCCCCCCACCACCCTGCTCTGGGGCATATTTAGTGCCAATCTGTTCTCCCTGACAAGAAATGAATCCTCCTATCTACTGTTTACACTCTGAAGAGAACATCTATTAACAAGGAGGTTCCAGCAATGCTGAGACATACTTTACATGTTGCAAAGTTGTCTCCCTTGTTAAGAGCATCCCACCAAGCAACTACAAGGAGACATACACTTGCATGCCAGGAGCAATGGAAAGGACCAGAGGCTCAGAGCATTAAGGAACCTAAGAATCCAAGAAACCTTTTTTTCTTTTTCCTTTTTTGGGAAAAAAAATTTTAAATATATGTAGCGAGTTACAGTTATAGTTACACAGCATTTCGCATAAACTTTCTTTCACATGCCTTAAACCAAATTTACAGAAACCAAGGAGCTGCATTACCTACTACCATCACTGCCTAGAGCCCGAGGGAAAAAAGAGACTCCAAGCCCCAGCTGGCTAGCTGCAGTTGCCTCTAGTGTAGTTAAAGATTCACTGGCACTCTCTTTTGGTGGGGGCTCCAGCTTCAGTTCCAGTTTAGGCTCCAGCTTTGGTTCTTCACACACACAGAGAGAGAGAGAGAGAGAGAGAGAGAGAGAGAGAGAAGAAAAGCAGCAGAGTTAGTTTAATTTTAAACAGCAGCTCTAAAGGCCTTTAAGGGCAAAGCCCTGTGGGTAAAAGTCTTCTTTATGCTGAGGGTCAGAGCCAAGAGATTCATCAGAGCTACAGAGTCTCTTGTGAGGGTGTAAATGGTATTAAGATGGTATAGTCACAGGGTATTAAGATGGTATAGTCACACCCAGCAGAGGGGAGAACTTCTCCCTGTATGAACCCCAGATTTAAAAGTCAGTCCTGTAAGACTCAGCCACCTGGCTAGTAGCCCTTTGAGTGGATACAATCTTTCCTTTCTATTCTAGTCCCACTTAGTGACCCCAGTCAGCTGTATTGTGCCAGGTGCTGTACAAAACACAGGGAAAAAAAGATAGCTAGTCTTGATGAGCTTCCAAAGTACAATGACCAGACATGCCAGTGTCAGCACTGGGGCAGTCATGTTTCTGTTCCAGGGCTCCCAGATGACCACCACCATTTTGAACTCTAGTTAAAACCACCCTTCTATGGAGAAGAATGAATAGATAGGAGGCTTTTGAAATTAACAACCACAACGTACAGAGGTCTATGGACAGTTTTGACTTGACCTTTTAAAGCATAAAAAGATGTTTCAGAAGATGAAACAAAATCAGAGGTGCCCCAGAGCACTGAGGGACAGGATTGCCCTTTTTGTTTAATTTTTTAAACCTTTCCAATGAAGAACGTAGCTGATTTCCTCCTCTGTATTCTTAAGGCATCCGGGCAGGTTTGCTACAAGAGAGCACTAACTCTTCACTGTAGCAGTACAAATAGCCCATGAGTGCAAGGGTGGGTACTAGCCCATCAATCAGCACAGGACTTGCCACACACACTGGATCTCCACAGCACTCGTAAAGGTCTTCTACTGCTTTTCACTGAAATGCAGCTTCAAGGCTCCAAGACTGAGATGAAGAGGGGAAGTGCTTAATGAGAGTGCTTGTGAAGGGTCTTGACTCTTAGCAGATTTCAGGCAGCAAAGTTTGTATCCTCTTCAGAAAGGATGACAGTCAAGCACATCCACTTTTCCCAAAATCACTCACCTTCTATTTTGGCAGTCTCCTCAGGCTTCTTTTCCTTTGCTTCCTGTTATACAGACACATAAGAAATCCATTTACACACTGACTCCTGAATTCAAATGAAGATGTAGCCAGTAGCAGCCCCCACCCCCACCTGCATCCATACTTCTGAGCCTTAGCCTGGTAGCAGAGATACTGGCAGAGGAATGAGAGCCAACACGTACAAAATGGACGAAGTGGAGGGAGTGACTTGACTGCCCAGCACTTGCTAACGTCACAATCCAGATCTACTTTCCCCAGTGCTGCCTTCTGATGTCAAAGGGGAAGTACATAATGGAGAGAGATTAAAAAAAATTATCCTGCAAAATGTAATACATCTTAAACAGTCACAACGGGGTACGTCAGCCTGAAAATCCTGCAGAGCAATCAAAACTCTCCCTTTTCTTTACACACAGCACTACAGCTAGATGTCCTAGTCTTGTCTGCTTCATGTGAATTGGTGGTAGCGCTAGAGGAAATGTTTGGTCTCTATGAATAATGCCAATTCTGATCCTATACAGGCCTAACGCCCATGTTGTTCTACTGAGTGAGTCCTGTGTGCAATGGTAGAGCTGAGCAGTATCAGACTTGTGAGGATGGGGATTAAAACAAAAAGTGGTTTGTTTTGCACCCCACCCCCACCTCCAAAATGCTCTCAACAGAATATCCTCTGTATTTCCTTCCTTAAGAGATCTGTGGCTAAAAAGACCAAAACACAGGAAAAGGAGCATGTTTCTCTTTGATCTTTTGCTGACCTGACTGGAATGGCAGTGTTTCTTGCTCACTTTGAAGCGAACATACCCTACTTGAGCTAAAGATGCTTCCGCAAGAGAATCCTGCCTTTCGATAGAAATCTGTTTATTTTTAATTCTAAAGCTGTTTGTATGTTGAAAAGTCATTCTCCCTGCCCTGGTCCTTTCAGGACAATGTTCAGCATCAATAGGCTAGGCTCTTTCAAGAGCAGCAGGAAAATACTCCAGGGCCAATCCAATAAAGGATCAAAGGAGAATTGGTTCTTTATTTGCCTACCAAGCCATCCCTTCTTGACCTATTCTTCCATTAAGAATTAACCAGGAAGACTCTGTGATGCAACCACTCAAGTTTGCTCTGCATTGAAAATAAAAATAACACTAGAGAGGGTTTATTATTCAGTTACTTTAAATAAACAAAAGCTTTATGTTTGAGCTGTGACAGAAGGAAAGCAATTTCACCCTGAGTAGCACTGGTGCCATATACAGAGACCAGGTGGTTTAGCTTGTGCAAGGAAGAAGCAGAGCCCTGGATGGCAGTCTGTGCACTAAAAGGCTTTGAGAGCCTCAGCCACTTCAAGGAAGCAAATATGGCCCTGTGTGCAGTTTCTATAGAAAATGGATAGTCTTGTTTTCAAAACACTTTACTAGCTCTTGAGAGATCTGGGTTCACTTCTCAGCTCTACTCCAATCTCTTGTTAACCCAAGGTAATCCACTGAGTCTCACTGGCCATGTCTATGTGAGATGCTGACTGCACAGCAGCCTGTGACTACTGCACAGTAGCATCACATGGCAGGAAGCATGACGTGATGCTAGTGTGCAGTAGCCACAAGCTCCTGTGCAGTCAGCATAACAAAAAAGCCATTCCTCAGCACTGCTGCATGGTAACTCCAGTTACCGTGCAGTCATTCAGTACTTGTTTATACAAGTACTAAATAACCGTGCACAGCAATGACTGCACAGTCAGCGTCTCGTGTAGACACGGCCACTGTGGTTCACTTCCCTACTGACAAGACGGAGACCAGTGCTTGCTTTCTGTTCCACTCTGTTTGTCTTGCCTATTTATATTTATGTTCCTAAGGGTGAGGGCTGTCTTTTTGTATGTGTGTAAACCACAGAACACAATGGATTTCACATGAGGCTTCTAGGACCTAGTGTAAAACAATAGTAATTATAAAAACTGGGTTAGTAGGAGCTTGGTTTAAGCCAAACGTGAATCCTGCCCAAGCAGGACCAGAGAGGCTGTCATTACAATGGACCTGAGATATCTCCCATTTCAATGCAGCTTCACTAACAACAGGTAGAGCATTAATGCTGGTCCACTGGCAATTGTTGGGGGCAATAACAGTGATGATGTAGTATGTGACATACTAGGAGAACCCTTATAATGTTAACATTGTGAGCATGGAAACTTGGAAATGGTTCCTATTAGATGTCCAGATTAAATATGTAAGAAAGACTTGCTGGTGCCGCTCTAAGAGCCTGATCCTGAAAGATGCCATGTGAGTCCATATAACTCCTACTGGCACCAGTGCCTGTTGAGGGTATTCAGCACTTCGCAGGATCAAGCCTTTAGCTGTCAAATGATGTTCTACACATTCATTGGTTGCTTTCTTAAGAACATTATTATTTGCATCCCAAGTGCCAGGAAGCACAAACCTAAGACTCTCTTTATCTGACTACTGAATGCCCATATGTTAGGAGATTTGCTGAACAGCATAAGACTTTACAAACCATGCTGTATTATCATACTTTAAGCCTGCTGCCCTTACCATGTCCTGCGCTATTTAACTTAATATTGGACCTTGATCACTATGAGTCAGAAGCTGGGTGTTCTTTAAATGCAGAATTTGTCTTTAATTTTTTTTAAAGTAGTCTAAGAAACTGCTTTGAAAACAAAAAATGAGGGAAAAATCTCTGTAGGCTGGTCTGCATGAGAAAATTGGATCAAAAGGGACAACAACCTTGAGGAGCTGTGCAAGCTAACAAAAAGTTCAGTACAATTTGGTAGTCCATGCAGACATGGATTATGATACTCAACATTATGAATAAACCCTCATGGAACTCTAGGGTTAACAGCAAGCAGCTGATACAACTTGTTCCCATCTACTCTTACTAAAAGTTGTGTTAATATTGTGTTAGTTTACATGACTCCTCCAGCTCATATTCTAATATGACCTAATTTATTGCGAGGACCAGGCCCAAGAAACTGTAACAGCATTTGCAGCAGCTGAGCAGCTAGAAAGTCAACACAGATGTAGTAAAATATTCATTGATGCCTCAGGAAAAGGTCTGAAAAAGAATAACAATGAGACAAATACCAGTGCTACATCTTACAATTATATCTACTTTCTCATTTTTCATTACTAGGGACTTGGGCTACAAACTATTTTGAAGAGGTTATTCTTCACCTAGCACATAGCACTGTACACAAATATAGCTACTTAAGCCATTCTAAAAAGTAGCACAATGGAGACTGGGGTGACAGAAGAAGTTACTGGTGGAGGTCACCATGCCTCATTCATGGGTCCAGATAAGAAATGGGTCTATAGTAACTGGAACCCATTCTTACCTGACAGCTGTTTGCAGGTTGATATAAAATGGGCTGCTGAGCACAGACCTGGATTGGGAGAAAGGCATTACTATTACAGTACTAACTGGCCTCCTCAGAGACCCTCAATGGAAGGCTTAAGGATTGAACAGTTACCAATGCCCCTCTGAATACCCTTCTCTCTCCTAGAAGCAGTCCTTCCTCATTGGGATTGACAGCTTGTGAACCTGGCACTGATATTGTTTTTATCATTTGTATTTTCATAACACCTAGGGAGCCAGAGGGGGAAAGGCAAAGGACTCCAGTCACCAGTGATTTTAAACAGACTTTTCATAGAGTCATAAGGGACCAATGTGCATGTCCAGCCTGACTCTTTCATAACCTATGCCATGGAATTCCACCCAATAAAACCTGTGGTAAGAGGACATTTTCTGCCCTCCTGTATAATTGGAGACTACTAAGATCAGCAGCCTGTAGTTGAACTGCAACCTATCTCCCAGAACAACATCCAACTTGAGTTAAAGGCTCCAGGTGACAGTGCATTTATTGCATGCCTTGGTGAGCTGTTCCAATGGTTAATACCCCTCACTGTTAGGAAATACATTTCTGATTGTAATGTTTCTCACTTTAATGCCAGCTGTTTGGATCTGGCTGTTATTTTGATCAACTTGATCAAATGGTGCCTTAATCTCAACTTTCTTCCCCTGTAGGTTTTTACAAACCATGATCCAGTTGTTTCTTAAGCTCCTCTTTGAAAAGTGAAATAGATTGAGCATTATAAAAGCCTCAGTATAAAATGTGTTACTGAGACCTCACTTTTCAATAGCATAATATTTAATTATTTAGATAAAGCTGCTTTAATAAGTAACAGCTCCCTTAGAAAACAGCTTTTTGCAAATCACCCAAATTGTCAGTAAGTACGATTCACAGTGGGAAAACTGTGGGTGGACTAGTTTCACTCAAAAGGATACTAACATTTTTAAGGGTTAGAGCACTTGTGCATATGTGTGTAGGTGTGTGTCTGTATGTTAGACTAAGCACTGAATATGCCACTCTTTGATTACCTGTTGTCTGACAGATCTGTGGAGAGAGCTATCCCACACCATAATTTTTGCAGCTTCAGAATACCCAATGTTTTTAAAACAAAACATTTTTGCAAGGGAGTAGCCAGGACATTTTAAGAAATATGTTGCTAAACTGATCAACAGTATCAAGGGTCTCTACCATCATGATATAAGGAGAAGAGCTTAAGCCTATGAAGGTTTAGAGAAGAGGGAATTAAGAGGGATTACTTTATTTTTATTACAGTGAATAAGTCCTCAAAAAGGATCATTTGGTCTTGAATATGCATCTGTTTGAACCAAGTAACCAGGCAACAGTAGCCTTGTGCATCTCCAGGAGTGAAACTGTTTGAAATTCTCTACCCCAAGGTGCTAGCAGATTCCCCTTATGTACACTTGAACAAAAATAAAATGAGTAACATGGCACTGACACAAGTCATGGGCAGGAATGGAGCAGGTACTTAATACCACTGATTTCTGCTTCCATAGAGAAAAGATCCTGAGCTCTTCCACTACCATGGAAGTTTCACCTGCAGAAAATTCTGGATCAGATCTGGGGCTGAGAAAAATTTTTCCCTAAGTATGGAAGATTCATTAAGATGAGGTGAGCCAGCTCCTACAATTGCTAAGAGCTCAGAACTGCAGTCCTTTGCCCTTCCCATTTCCTTCTTCTGTTTCAATAATCTTAAACAAGAAAACTCCAGCCTGCTGGAGTAGCTAAAAAAGCATGTTAATGCAAAAGCTGAATGAGTTCTCCCCCTCCTCTAACTTCTCACAGCTTCTGTGAATTAGTCTTAGAGTTCTGATGGGAAAAAGTGGACATGGTAATGATATTTCAGGCACTCAAGCAAGTTAAAATAGAATTCCACGTAGACATCTAAGAGGGAAATAGGATCTGCATCTTGGTAACCATCCTGCAGTGTCATGGGTCTGTGAGTAGCTGCACATATTTTTTATTTCACTTTGAATCTATGAAAGGGAATGATGCCTCCATACTCTAGTACCCAGTAAACTCCTGAGCATGTATTCAGACATAACTTGTGCTACAGTAACTAAGCACATTCTTGGTCTTTGCTGCACCCACCTCAGGCTTTTTCTCTGGCTGAGGTACCATTTTCTCAAAACCCTGCACCAGCCAGTTAATGACTCCGCTCCCAAACCTGCAGAAAGAGAACACACACAGTCATAACAGCTCTCCCTACACCCTCACTACAACCATAGAGGACCCACTTTCCTTTCCTCTGCCGCCCTTGGGGAATTATGCTCAGAGACAAAGGAACATATTCAGGGCTAACCCTCGGAACCAGGGTCCATTCGATGTGTAGGGAGGAAGGGATAGAACTTGCCCTCAACACACATAACTCAGAGCCAGAATGCAGAAGCTCTATCTAACCTGCAGTCAGGAGTGAGACTGTGCTTCATGGTAGCACACTGGCTACAGAAACACAGGCTTCAAAGTGGACTGTATGAGCACACCAGTATCCCGGGTAAATGCTTTGCAGCTGGAGTCTGAACTGCCACAGCTCCTGGTTAGCTACTTTAAACCTCTCTTGAGCATTAATAGTTATTAATAATAAGTAGTCTCTATCTCACTGTTGCTGAGTTGACATTGACTAGTAGTAAAAAAACTACAGAAAAGCCCATTCTTGTGATGTCTCCACCCTTTTTTGTAGCCCTAAGGGTGCAGAAACTTTGGTGAAGGTTCAGATAGGCAGATGTAAGAGTGGAGGCAGTGCTATCCAGTGAATAATGAACTAGGAAATCAGACAACCCAATTTAATTCCCAACTCTGGCACTAACAGATCTTGAGCAAAGGTCTTGTGATCTACAGCAAATCGCTAAAGTTCTCTTTATCTGTCAAGCAATGCCCACCCTGAGATGTGAGGATGGGAAATGCCACAGGTTGGGCTTGTGGCCTAAGGGAGGAAGAGGTCTGAACTCTCTGAGGTTCTTTAGGAAGGTTGGCCAAGCCTGCTACTGAAGAGCTATGGGCTACATGAGGCCTCTCATACTGGAGTAAACTAAACTAAAGAGAAAAAAATGGGCATGGCTCACTTCTTCCTCCTCCACCATGAGGGAACTGTTACCAGTTCTCCAACATCCCCTTGCTGATCCTATAGCCCTCCTGCCTGCTTGCATCTCATTGCATTCACTGCTCAAGGAGGAGGGCAGAACAATGTCAAGCCTACAGGATAGGACTAGCAAGGTTAGAAAAGTACAGCCTCAGTGATGACATACACCACTGGAGGGTGACAGTAGAGAGCTGGTGGCAAGACACTACTACAAGTATTTGAAACTCAACCCTTTAAAAAAATGCATCCTCCTTCGTGCTGTAAAGAAAGACACCCTTTGTCAGCCAGGATCCTAGCACTGACCTCTGGCTGTGTCTAAATGACATCTCCAGCACTCTCACAGAGGACTGCTGGTGAGTACATGCCACTCACACAACAAACCTGGAAATGCAGTGGTAAAGCTGCTCCAGGGACTCCTCCTCACTATGTCTTTTGGGACCTCTATCTCCAGAGAGCAGGAAT